GGTGCAAGTTACTTGGTGGCATTTCTTAGAATTCTGAAGTCGGAAGTAATTTTTTTTGTTATTTGGGATTTTTTAGAAGAGGCCCTGAAACATGGATTCAAAGTACCTAAAACTAGTGACAGTAGAAGATTGATGTACAGTGTTTTTAAGCAAACTAAAGAAGAAGTAGAGGGAAAAATGCTGTTGGTGAGCAATAGTTTTGATTAGCAGTGTTCTTCTTGGCAATAAAAAAATTGTGAATTGTAAAATGTTTGGCATTTTGGCCGTATACAGTAAATGTTCTTTGTGCTTATTTCTTAAAATCGCTTATAAGTGGTTTAAAAAAGTCAGTCTTTGAGGCTAAATTTGGACTGGCCGGAAGGAGTTCGAAGGAAATGAAGGCTGAGTACGAAAAGCTGGATGAGAGGGAACAGAGGAGGACGAAGGCGAAGAAAACACAGAGTAAAAAGATTTCAAAGAAATTAGATGGAGAAAACAAGGTGAGATTTTCATTACGAACTAGTTTTACCACATTTTTTTCCAGAATTTTTTGGCCAGTGCACTAAAGCTTTATTTATAAGCCCTTTTAACGGTATGGATTTTGTGTGTAATACTTTTTAATTATCTTTTACTTTTTCTAATCTCCTTTGGTTTGAGTGAGTTTAAGTGATGAAAAACATTAGTTTTGATTAACACTTTTTGAAAGGTAGTAAAGTTAAGGAGCGCGAGCTGGAAATTTTGCTCATTTTATTTCCATACTAGAGCTCCTTTCCTTGGACATTTAATGTTATTTTTAGGGAGTTGTGGAGGAGAAGAACGAGGGAAATGAAGAGGAAAAGGTTAATAACGGAGATACGGAAGGAAGAAAAGCCGTAAAAAGAAAGCATTTGTTAAGAAGACAGAGGTATGAAGAGAAAAGAAGGCAGAAACAGTTGGATGAAGAGGAAGATAAAGTTTTGAATGCCAAAGGTTTCTTACTTCACTTTTACTTTTTTATTAATTCTTTTTTTTTTGTGAATTAATTTTACTTTCGTCGGAATGCCTCTTTTTTAGATTATGTGCCATTTGGTGCCAGAGTTGATGCACCGCCGGATCTTTCTTCTTTAGGCCTTTTAGAGTCAAAGAACCCCATAAAGGTACTCTACCAATTTTTGTTTTAGTTTTGTTTCACAAAGCAGCTTATATTTTGGCTGTTCCGGTTTTGAGAGAGTTATTGAAAATTAGGCATTCAACTTTTCAGACAAAAACAAAATCACTTCTTTTGACGAAGAAATTTGACCTGGATAAGCTGAATTCCTCGCCTACTACGTCGGGTAGTATTGTTAATTCAATAAAGCGGAACAGGGATTTGGCAGAAGAAAGGAAAAGAGTTATTGAATCATACAGGGCTATGAAGAGATCTAAGCACGAATTGTAGAGGGTTTCAATATGTGTTATGAAATGGACATTCAACCCATCTTTTTTAACAAAGGCAAACGGTAAAAGTGCAGCTTACATCTCTGAACTAGTTGAGCAACTTCTTTTGAATAGGTTAGTTTCATTTTGAGTTTCCTGGGTAGTTGCAGCTGATTCAAAATTTCATTGTACACTAAGCTTTTTTAATGAATAGTTTGCCTGTAATATTTGGAACGCTTAGAGGATTGTTGTAGAGGTGCTATTCGTGAGAACCATTATGGATGAACCGCTTGATATTTCTCAAAAAAGAAAAATCGCCGTTGTTGAGCCTTGGCAGTTCGAAATTTCTATATATTATTGGTTTTTGACACGGAACTTAAAAAACACACTGTTTGACAAACAGTAGAGTTTCATCATTCTTTTTAGTAGTCAAACTTGCTGGCATTTGAACCGATAGTTGTCCTTCTATCGTTTAAATCGAACATAATTAAACAGATACCTTCTACTTGTTCTTCATCCGCTTCACAGACGGATATACGTCTTACTGAAATTGGGCAAAATTTCAATGGAGTTTTGGAGCATGGTGTAATTTTTTATAAAATACGGAAGTCAGTATTGAATCTTTATGGTATGGATGTATTGGAGAAAGAGATTTGGGTTTTAAAAAATTTTTTCCAAAGAAAGTCAAGAACACAATTAGGTCTGTAGTTCAATTGTACGGAAATAGTGGCAACTACATACGCTTCAAGGAGGGAATGGCAAATCGTCTTTCTTCCTCAACTCCATTTTGTCACTGTTTGTTTCTACATCTATTATCGGCTTTTTTGATTCAAGAACTTTGTTACAGTTTTTAGAACGAACACCCAGTTTCAAACTTTTCAACAATCGTCGAAGGTCTTTATCCTAAATTAAGCTTAATTTCTTTATATGCGGGATGCTATAGATTAGGGGTTTTTTCTGCCGGTGGGTAATTTCGCGGCAGAAAAATAAAGTCTTTTCAATTTTTGTTCTCGGTTCTTCTGCTTTCCGGGAAGAAATCCTCGCGAGGAAATGGGGACAAGGAAATTTTCATTGGAAGTTTTGAGTGGGAAGATAGTAGAAATTGTGGTGGTGTTTGTTGGTTGCAGGAATCACAAGGAAAATATTGTGCTGCGGTCAGTTATGCATGCTTCTTCTTGAAAGATCGAGCAAAATGGTACTGTTTTTGTCGATTTTTATCCGCTTTTTTGGGTTGTCGTCTGCGCGAGGAATATCTGAAACGTCATTATATTTGTCCTGCTAGTGTTTCGCAATTTAAATTTTTTTTTTGAATTTATGCTGGCTGCAACCTGTTTTAAATTTATTCAAACTATGGTTCTGCTCCTTTCATTATTTTTCATCTTAGTCCCGTTGGAATTTGTAGCGCCGCAGAACGTAAACTGCGAGGCTCGAACATAGGTTATACAGTGATCTCGAGACAAAAATTTATTTTTTATAATTGCTATGCTCTACAGCTCAGAAGTAGTTTCAGTACGCTGAAAAGCAATTCTTTAATTATCCACTTCTTGAACTTCAAAAACATGAGTTGAAGATAAATTTATTTTCTTCTGATTTGCTCTATATTTCTTCGTTCCTTTTATTGACAACTTATTTCCATAACGTTGCTGACATCTAATTCTGTGCTTTGCATGATGAGCAGCCTGTGAATTATACCTTTTAAACTATCTACCGTGTGAATTATACCTTTTAAACTATCTACCGGAGCTTAAAGCGTTGAGTTGCCACAGGTGAGATATCATTTCAGCTGTTTAGGTATTAATTTAATGGCTTTTAATGACCAGTTTGAAATCTACTAGCGTTTGGATAGATATCATGAAGATAAATGACCGTTTATTTCTTCATTGGGAGGGGGAAGAGAAGTCGCTAAACGACGAAAATAATAAAGGTGCATTCAGAATACTGAATTAGTTTCATCGGCTTTTTCAATTTTTTCTTAACATTATAGCACGCGGGATACTATTTCGTTCTGTGATCTTTAAATTCATGCTTTTTTAAAAGCTGTTTTGCCCCTTATCATTTTATTGTTGCGTTCAAGAACCCTTTTTTTTCCTAGTATGCAATCTTTTATTTACTGTTACAGTGGTTTGAAATGATTTTGTGCCGCTGATACATCGTGTTAGCCGTTATCATTATGTGTAGTACTGTAAGCTTTTACTGAGGGGTTGTAATCAAACTGACCTAGACTAATTTTGTTGAGTTTGTATGTTGTCTGTTGGTATAAATTGTAGAAAATTTTATATGAAAACTTGATTATCATTGTATGATAAAAACCGTCAATTATCAGAAAGTCAAAAGCTTTATGACACTGCATAAGCGTCAATAAATGAAAGCATTAAAAGTGATGAGGTCAAAATACGCTTAGGTCACATCGACTTTAGTTTCCCAGTGTTTTGCCTCTAAATAATGGAAAAAAGGAGACTGTTTATTTATATTTGTTGTATGATTATTTGTACAACAGAAATACTGAAGCAGAAAAGTTTGTATTTTATGGCAACTGCACTGTTCGATCAAATTACTATATGAAGTCTTCAAAGTGCAAAACGCCAGATGTTTCTTCACTTCTGCAAAACTATTATGCAATTTTTTTCCAAGAAAAACAATGCTGCAGCACCAAATAAAAGTGACATTTCCTCTTATTTCATTAAAAAAACGCCATTAAATTCAACGATAGTAACAGAAATTGAACCGCTGTTCGCCTGCTAATTATTGCAGATTGTAGAAAACAACTAAAATAATTTAGTAGGTTTCAAAAGACAGCACTGGATATCCAATTTGTAGTATGTAAAAAAATTATCCTCAACGGTTTTTATAATCATTGGTATACAAGATCTGATGAAGATAAAAAAGTGGAAAACATGCTAATCCAAACCTTGATCAAAGCCCAAAATTGATTTTTAAGCCTAAACTGTTCTTTACATTACAGAGTCCTCAATTGCTTGTGGCCATGTCTTAATGGTAAACACAAATGTCATTACTGTTACTTATTATCACCAATAGTTACCGTCTTCACACCCTTCTGGTAGATTTATATTCCATTAATAATAAGAAATAACAATAAGTATATTATGCAACATGAATTCAGATTTTATGAACAGTTTTTGACTACTTAAACTCATGAGAAAGGTGATCATTAAGGAATAAGGGATGCAGTAAAGCAATCAAAATAATTTTAAAATACAACACGGGAGGTGTGCTGACAGTATGTGTTTCTGAATTTGATTAATTTACTATTTCTATAGACGTCTTGTTTTTGCAGTACTATAGGTAGTTGTTTCAGGTTTTGATAATTACTAGCTAACGTCATTGTTGATCGGTTTGTATGAAATATGAGAAACCCGATTTTCAAATATCTTTATCTATTCATCTCCAATAGAATAAGGCTTTTAATTTCATCTCCTTTCCTGCTCTCTTCTTTTAAATTGAAATTTGGTTTTTGAGTAGGAAATTAGTAAATTGCTAGAAATCTGAACAAAACTGTATGCCTTTCCAACCCAGCAGCGAACGTACACAGCAGACTTAGATGTTTCCAACAACAGTTTACCATAAAGCGATATAATGCAGGGCAAGCGGAAAAAGAAAATGATAAACAATGTCACCATCCGAAAGACAGTGAATCTGTAGGAGTTATGCTATGAATGAAGAATTGTTTTCTAAGAGAAAAAACTTTTGGTACAGAACAGAAAAAAAAAATGCAAAAAAATTTCAAAGGTCACAGTAGTTGAGCAAAGGTTTTGCAGTTAAAAACCTCAACAGTTGTTTTATCAGTGTTGCAAACGGAATGAATGAATGGATAAATGGTTGGATGGATGATCAGATCGATGAGTCGTTGTTGACGACCAGGTTCCTCGGCAAGGCAATACCAACAGCGACGGCAGTAAAAGCATTCACTGTGTATCAGTGTTCACCTCTGTGGTTTATTCAGATAATAACGCATTTGTTGGCCGCTGCTGTTACCGTTGCTGTTACTGCTGTTGCCGCTGCTATTGCTACTGCTGTTGCTGTAGCTGTTGCTGCAAGTGTTGCCGGTATAGCGGCCATTGTTTCTGATGTTGTTACTGGTATTGCATCCCGCAGGAATGCTGATATAGTAGGGAGCTCATTCAACTTTTATTTTTTCTGAATTTACTTCATTGGTTTGTTGTTTATTCATTTTATTGTATGTTATAAACAAATTATTTCCTATACTGAAAAAACTAAAAGTGTTTTTTAATTTTATTTATTGTGTGGATACTTTCAGAAAAAATGTTTTCTTTCTACGGTACATTTATATATGAGGTTTTTAAGCTGGTTGTACTGTATCTGCTGCAGTGATAGCGGTAATAGAATATAAGGGTATTTTGATGGTTTCTAAACTGTTATCAACGATTGTGTTTTCATTTTATTTGATATTTCTGAATATGTCTTAAAATTATTATTTGGTTCACCAAACTCGTTCACCATCGATAGTATAGAGTTGAAAGAAGACTTTAAGCAGTTACATTAATTTTATTTCTTTGTAATTCGATATTAATGCTCTACTTCATGGGCTTCTGTTTTTGGATTTCAGTTCAGCCTTTATCTTTTTGAAACTATTGAACTAGTCTAGGTTGATAAGAATTTAGATAGTACTACTGCAGTTCAGTATATGGTTAGTATAGTTGGTGTTTCAGCTGTATCAGTCTTATAACTTTGAAAATATGAACGGTTAAGAAATTGTACTGTAAGTTAAGGTTTTATTTACTGAGAGGATTTATCGGGTAATAGAAACGTAGTTTTATCAGAAAAGAAATCGACTTTATTTGCATAAAAATTACTTTGTTTCCTTTTTTTTTTTTTATTTTGAATGGCAAATATAATTATCAATTGGTGTTAAAGTCTTTTTTCCTTTGACTAACAATTGAGCCAAAGAGACGAATAAAGCAGAAGATTATCCAACAGAGGCGGGAAGTTTTTCTTGCCATATATTTTATTGTCGACGATTACTAATCTCGTAATGATCAGTAAAAAACAAGAACAGCAAGGAAAAAAGCAGAGGTATTGGCAAGTGTAATATATCTTTATAATCTATTGTTTCTTGTCTTTTTTCCTCGTCTTTTTCCTCATTTTTTACAAAAATTTGCTGCAAAATACTTGACGAACAAATGGTCAGCAGGAGATTCTGATTATTATCCGTCAAAAGGGGAAGAATCAGACAATTTTGTAAAAAAATAGGAAAGAAACAGCAACAGCAAAAACAGAAAAAAACATCTGCCTAATTTTGTTTTGCTTTTTTTGTTTTTGATTGTTGCTGTACCGAAAAGATTCATTGGTAAAAGAAGGAAATAGAGGGGTGAAAAGTGAAAACAGTGATAGAGGGAAGCGAATAAATACCAAAATGCTAAAATGTTAAATGTTAAAATATGGCCGATATGTTTATAGTTCATTTTTTTTCTTTCTTGCAATTATTCCATCGGATGTAATGTTTTAATACTGTTAAAAAGAGGAAAAATTTACACAAATTTTAGCTGCACAGATTAACAACAAAAAACCAAATTTTATTTTGGTTACGTCTTGTTTAAACGATTTCAATACTATAATATTCATTGAGTTTTCTTTTTCGTCCGTTGGCAACTACCTTTCCCCATTTTTTCTTTCACCTATTTCTTTTGGTTCTTCGTTTTTTGTTTTTCACTTTTTATCAACTTTTTGTCTTAACCTTCTTTTTTTTGATCAGATTTTTTGCTTTTCATTTCTTTTCAAAACATTTTTTTATTATTTCTGATTACGCTGTATGATTGCAGATCAATTTTTTTGAAATAATATGCACAGTATCAGATATTTGAAAGTATAAATGTTTATTTTTTGATACAATTTTTATTTATTTATTTTCGTTTGCAACAGTTTTTCTGTCACTTTCTTTTCTTTCTGCCTTCATGACGGGAAGGAATCAGAAGAGCGAGCATAGAACAAAGATGAGAAGACAAATTTCCTTATCTGACAGCATCTGTTACGTTGTGTCGATAATCGTTCATACCGTTTCTGTACTTACTGTGTATTCATTTATCTCATAATTTATTGTTCATATTTATTCAAAAGGGAAAAGCTTGTTTGACTCAGCAAAAATAGGAAAAAATACTTTATTATTGTCCTATATTTATAGATTTTTAAAATTTTATCGGTTTTCCAACTTTCTTTTCTGTAAAATTAACAAAATATTTAGTAACTTTTGTGCTCTTTTTTTCTCAGCTAGTCTTGTTTCTTCGGCCTTATCTATCGCTTAGCTAAAACTTGATTGTCGACTTCAGTTATTATATTTAAAGTTGATTTATATTTGGTTATGACCGAGATATGCGCCATTTGAAATAAGAGTGCAGAGCAAAAAAAACAGAGGAAACACTGAAGATGTTTATATGTTTTGTTGAATAAGGGAAGAGAAATATTTCCCATATGTAACTCACTTTTTTTTCTTCTTTATTTAATACGAATAAATAAAATTTACAGCAGCTGTTGCTGCTGTATGGTACTTTTAGAAATGTTTAAAAACAGATTTTTTTTTGCTTCAAATTGAGTTTATTTTTCAATGGAAAGGAAGAAGCTGGGGTGAGAGTGGTGAGAAATTTGTTTAGAAGCATTTTTTCTACCGCAATTTTTGGAAGCTTACTTGAATGAATCAGAGAGATTAAAATAATTTTCTTTGTATACGCAGTATAAAGATATGATCATACGTTAATTTGTCTTCAAATTACAATTTGTTTTCGTTTTAATAATAGCAACAGTCTCCACGACAGTCTTCTTTAGTTTGCCTTTTTGACATTTCTTGGGAAGCAAACTGAAGTAAAATTTGTCTGGTATGAAGAAATATGATAATAGTTTTAATCAAATTAATATATGAGCTTATAGGTGGACAATGTTGCTCCTGTGGCTGCTTCTGGCAGCCTTTACGGGACTTGGAACAGCTCAGGTACTTGTTCCTCCATACATCAATTTGGCATTAAACAAAAGAATTCATGCTACATCAACTTGCGGCGAAATCAATGGTGAACCGCATCGAGAAGTATTCTGTCAAATTGCTGGTAAGTTTTAACACAGTTTTTTCCTTTCACAAATGAAATAATTTTTGAAACCAGTCGTATCTTGCTGTATGTGCAAATGATAATGGTAATAAAACAGTATTCGGATGCGATTTGAACCTTTTTTTTCAATATTTCAACTGACATCTGGCAAATAAACATTGTGCTTTATAATATTTATTTTGGTATACAATTTGAAACTGTTGGTGTTTAGCAAACAAAACGCTCGTTTCAAGGAACTTTCGTTGACAAAATTTAGTTACAAGTTAACTCTGTAGAATCTACCTAATCTAATAGTCTAAATTAAGCAAAAAATTAGAAATTTATTGTGAAAAACATCTTTAAAACAGCAGACAATTTAAGTATGGTAGTGCTATTTCAAAGCTAGATTTTAAGCTATTTTTAGGATCAAATCAATATACGCCACTTGGGCAATATTCCTACAGTGTTAGCAATGTACCGCTTAGTGTCCGAGAAATGAAAGCTCCAAAACTTTCATTTATTCAGGTTGCGTTGGATCAGTTTCATTTACTCCTCTTTTTTTTTAATGTGTCATTAGCTGTTAACAAGCATACCTATTCTAGTTTTAGAATTTTTAAAGCAGCTTATTTGATGACGTATCGTTTATAAATAAAACTTGAACCTACAGCAAACTGATCTTATACAAAACGTGCGTAAAAACAAAATTCGTTTATGGAAGAAGCAGTGTAGCAAAACACGGTCTTTAGTAACACTATGAAAAAAAAAGGATTACATTTAGCTGTGTTTAACAATTAAATGTCATTTAGGGTGGACAAATTTGTGATTATTGTGAAGCAAATACCACAAATGAACATCCGGCAGAATTTATGGTTGATGGTGGAGCAGCTTGGTGGCAAAGTCCACCGTTAAGCAGGGGCAAACAATATGAACAAGTCAATATTACCATTGACTTAGGACAGGTAAGACAGTTCTGAAGCGTACAAAAAATGAGAAAAAAAAGTTTTTGTTTTTTTAATTTTAGTGAGTTCAACTTTTGTTGTTACGAAACGTATAACCATTACAATACAAACGTCTTAAAGCTAAAACTGCTGATGACAACAGAACATTTGGTTTTTGGGCATACATTCAGAAGCTGTTTATAAAACTGATTAACTTGTTAAAAGAAGTTAATTTGCCTAAACTACCAGAAAGCAAATTCTGTGAATGATTTTGAGGAGGCAATTTACGAAGGGTTTCTAATAATTAAGGGTACTTCTGACTAGGAGCTGTTACTCAATGCAAAGTATTGGAATTTAAACCTAATTTTGATAGCAGTAAAATAGAAAACTAAAAAAATCACTCTTCAATTTATGAAACAAAATTTTGCATTTGAAACTGCTACAAAAATCTTTAGATAGTTAGGTCTCTTACGTACTAGGAGAAAGTACGTAATAAACAAATGTATTTTTACAGTTCGTTTTTAAAAATTATGATTTTTTTCCAGTTTTAACTTTTGTCTATAGTCAATGTTCTGTTGTAGATTTCTTCTGTAAAATCTACTATTTAGGAATTTCATGTCGCATACGTTTGGATTCAAATGGCTAACAGTCCACGACCAGGAAAATGGGTACTGGAAAGATCGGTCGATTATGGTAAAACCTACACGCCTTGGCAATATTTTGCTGAAAGTGCTGCAGACTGTCAAGATGTATGCATATTTTGACTGCCAAATTTGGGGATTTAGGAATTTTCTGAATTTTATAGTAATATTAAAGTATCACTGGGCTGATTACAGTTTGGAAAAGAAACGTTGGCTCCAATACTGCGAGACGATTCTGTAATCTGTACCACCGAATTCTCTAGCATTACGCCACTGGAGAATGCTGAAGTATGTAACAGACCTGGTAGTTAAAGAAGAACTGAAAAATAAAATTGCATTTATTAGCTGCTAAATAAAATTAACGTCAGCTTATTGTTCAGACAAATTTTAGATGATGATACGATTATTGGAAAATCGACCGGGTCGGAGCAATTTTAGTCAGTCTGAAGTGCTACAAGAATTTGCTAAAGCTACCAATGTTCGTATTCGACTGCTACGAGCCAAAACACTGCACGGTCACCTTATAAATACACAAAAGCGAAAAGATCCTTCGGTGACGAGACGGGTAACCAACTAAGACAGTTCTTCGTCGACATTTATGGACATTTATTGTGTACTGAACGATTACTGTTCTGAAAAATCCAAACAAGAATTTTTTTTAGCATTTTTATGCAATAAAGGAGATATTTATGGGAGGTCGATGTGTCTGTAACGGATATGCTTCAACTTGTGATGTTCTCGATGTCAGACGTCCGGACATGCTACTATGCCGGTAGTTATTTTTAAGTTTTGCTTGGACGGAAAATGGGGTCATTCTAATATTTTCCAAAAGCACTAGCATCTTCTTCTCAGAAGTTAGCTTTCACAAAAATAAAGAAGGGATTTTAATATTTTTTCACTTAATTGCCATCTAGATGCGGTAATAACACGTGTGGTGATCAATGCGAGCGTTGTTGTCCTGGTTTTGAGCAGAAAAAGTGGCGAGCAGCTAAGGAGGATGAGGAATTCAAATGCGAACGTAAAATATTCTTTAATTTTCACAATTACTTTCGTTTTGCCCACATGATTTTTGGGCAGCCAAAAAGGAATATATTCTAAATATAAGACTGCAAAAGATAAATTTTTTTCTTGAATATTGTTATTGCTGAATTTTTTCTTATCATATGAATTTGTTTTTTTTTAGCATGTAATTGCCATGGTCATTCTAACGAATGTGTTTACAACGAAGAAATAGATCAAAAGCATCTCAGCTTGGACATGTACGGAAATTATGAGGGTGGCGGCGAGTGTCAAAATTGTCAGGTACTGCAGTCAATCAAGCTTTTTGGTCATCAAGCTCAGAACTGTACTTTCAGCATCACACAGAAGGAATAAACTGTAACAAATGCGCACCGGGATACTATAGACCAAGAGGGAAACGATGGGAGGATCTTGATGTTTGCCAACGTTAGTTAAAGACGTTGAACAGCTTTTTTTATAACCTATTAGATTTTTTCTGTTTTTTTCTCTTTTTGGAAAATCACATGTTATTTCTCTCCCAATAAGATTTCTTTCTGCTACTTCAACGAACCGGTTGGAATTAAAATTAGGTGGGAAAAATTTTAGCGTGTCAGTGTGACCCGAGAATTCACAGTGACATATGTGAGGAAGAGACTGGTCGTTGTGAGTGCAAGCCACAGTTTACTGGTCCATATTGTGACCGTTGTTCACCGGGATATTATTCCCCACCACTTTGTAAACCGTGTGATTGCTCGTCATCAGGTACTGAAGACAGTCTTTGTTTGGTAAGTTCAGATTTATGGCCTGACAGTATGAGAAAATTTTCAATAGTCTGTAGATGTTACTGTGAAATAAAAGATTGTTATTTTCAAAACTGTAGGTAAAGACGTAGATTTATGCACATCATTGCATCATTATAGTAGGAAAAAGTTTCTGTCTTTGTACAATTTTATGGCACTGTCATAAGTCGAAGTGTAGGTCATTTTAAGGTTCATATATCAACTCGAAGTTAGTTTTATGGAAATGATTTTGTCAATTTTAGCCAATAGACGGTCAATGTCCGTGTAAGACAGGTTATACTGGAAATTTCTGTGAAACGTGTGCTCCTGGATATACCAATTATTCGGCTGGTTGTATTCGTAAGTAATTGAACAGTATCTATTTTACGCTGCCAAGGTTGTTATGGTCATGTCTAATTATAAGGATGTTTTTCTATTAAACATTTCTTTTTGCTGTTGCAGAAGGCATAAGTTTTTTTTTACAGCATGTAACTGCAATCTAGTGGGTTCAGTTAATGGCAAGTGTGATCTAGAAACTAGCCAGTGTGAATGTCGAGTCAATTTTGCTGGATTATTGTGCGATAAATGTGCTGACGGCTATTACGACTACCCAAGATGCGAATGTTGGTTTCAAAAATAGTTTTACTGGCCTTAATTCAATAGATGAGGACAGAATGTGAATTAAGTGCATACGATATTCATTAATTCCTACAAAAGAGGAGACGCTCGTTTTAGTTTTAATTTTTTCTAGCTATTAAATGTTTTCTTGAAACAGATTGCAACTGTGATCCAAGCGGTACAGAAGAGGGCCTGTGTAATAAAAGAACAGGAACATGTCTATGTAAACCTGGATACACCGGAGTTCGATGCGATCAGTGCGATTCCTATTACTACGGTTATCCCAAATGCAAAGGTTAGTCCTGGTACTAACAGTTCATGATAATAAATGATAATGAAGCTCTAGTGCCATATGAGCTTTACAGTAATGAGGTTTTCAAGCTATAAACTCCTTCTTTCAGCTTCTTTTACAGTAAAAATGGGCTTTTTCTCTAGTGAATCTTGGTCAGCTGCACAAAAATCCTCTTAACTTTTCCACTCTGTTGCTTTTCCAGAATGTAACTGTGATGCACACGGATCAGAGAGTCGCGAATGTGAGCCAAAAACAGGTGAATGCTCTTGTCGTAAAAACTTTATTGGTCGACAGTGTGATCGATGTAGGCCAGGCTTTTACGATTATCCTAACTGTAAGGCTTGCCAATGTCACGTCGATGGGTCGGAGGGGTTGACATGTAACAATAATGGAAAAGTTAGTTCTGTTTGACTTGGCTACGATTATAAGAGCGATTTTTGTAAGGTTTGTGATGAATCGTATTTCCAGTGTTTCTGTAAACCAAACTTCCAAGGTGATCGTTGCAACGAATGCAGACCAAACTTTTATAACTTCCCACTTTGCGAAGGTACATCTCTAAATCGTTGGTAGTTCTTAAAATTTAATTTTCCTTCTCCACGTCGCTGAAATGCAAAAATGATAATGTGTACGTGTTTTTGCTAACTTACTCAAGAGATGTCGACGTTGTTTTAGAATGCCGGTGTAATCCGAGTGGCGTGGCAAAAGATTTTGGAGGGTGCGACAAAGTGGGTCCAGGAAAGCTGTGTGAATGCAAGAAGAATGTTGAAGGGCGAATATGTGATAGATGTAAGCCTACCTTCTGGGCACTTAGTTACCAACTGGAGGATGGTTGTATGGCTTGCAAGTGCGATCTAAGAGGAACAGTAGCAGGCCTGAGCATATGTGACAGTATCACGGGACAGTGTTTATGTAAGGAATATGTGGGGGGTAGGCAATGCAGCCGATGTGCTGAAGGATATTATAATCTTCAAGAGCATAATGTATTTGGATGTCAACGTTAGTTTTACTACTTTCTTTTAAGTTTGATTTTGACTTTGTTGCGACTGTGTGGTTTCACTGTTGATTATTTTCAGCTTGCAACTGTAACAAGGGAGGATCGGTTGGCGCCGCATGTGACATGAAAACAGGACAGTGCAACTGTCGGCCAAGAATTACGGGACTGAAGTGCGACAGAGCGATTAATGATCATTACATCCCCAATTTATGGCACCACAAAGTAAGTATTATTTCATGGTTTATTTTCACACATTTTTAAGGGAGTCATTAATAGTAGACGGAGAACTAGATCTCTTAACTGAGTTGTTAATTTAAATTCACTCTTTGGTTTTCTTTCTGTCTATAAAATTATGGATTCACATTTAAACTTGGTTGTTTCTATGTTATAGTGAACTGCGTAAAAATTGCTTTTCTATTTTTATGAGCTAACTCTAAAGGGTTTTAGTATGAAGCAGAAAACGGTCGTACTCCAGATGGGGAACCTGTGCGATATGCTACAGATAAGGAAGAATTTGAAAACTTCTCATCGAAGGGATTTGCAGTATTCTCAGAGTCACAAGACGAAATTTTAATTCCGCTGAACATCCAGAAGTCTACGTTTTACCAAGTTTTATTTGTCTATGTAAATCCGACGTCTAAAGAAGTGGAAGTCGAGCTCTCTGTCGTTCCTTCTTTCCCCAATTCGCAAAGTACTTAAAATTCTTCTGTCTACAGATGGATCAATGGGTGTTGGTATCAGTTTCGTTCCGTTTATACTAAAGTATGTTACTTTCATGTTTTAGATGCCGATCAGTCAGCTACGAATGTGCTGCCGCCATCAAAGAAGCCTACCGTGGTATCCATGAACAAGCGACAGCCATTTGTTTTGAACCCGGGGACGTGGAAACTTCATATCAAAACCCCAAAACGCATTTTTCTGGTAAAATTTGAGAAACTGTTTCAGTTTGGCGGTTCTATATTTTTGCAGTCAATAAAGTTAATGAAGACCAATCATAATGAACTTAGTAAACGTGATTCTGTTCTATAACAACCAGTAAAGACTAAGAGCCACTAAAAAAAACCGAATGGGATTTGAGACTGTAATGTTAAGCTAATTTGCTGTTATTGTTAACTGTTGAAATATTTGGAAATCATTCAATGTTAGGCTCTGGAGGAGCTAATACTGGACTTGGGGAGAGTTTTTTTTAGGATTACATAGTATTGTTACCTTCTGAGTACTATGAAGCTAACCTGCTGAAAGAAGTACCACCAACCGCTTGTGAAGTTGGTGCAGATCGGGATTACTGTCTTAAGACCAGTTATGCACCTCTGCCAGCATCTGCTCGTTTCAGCGTTGACGAAGATCGAACCTTTAATCAAATTCATCCAGACGGACGGATTTCTTTAATGGATAAAGTATGACTATTTTTACTTTCATTACCGCCAACTAAACTTTGAATAAAAAATCAGCTTAAAATTTGTGTTAAAAAGCTACTTACTTTTTTGCTTTCTGCTTTCTTTTCTTGATTGCTTTCCAAATGTTTAGTGATTGCGGATTCAACATTAAGTTGACTGATTATGGTAACCTACCAATATCGGCTAAATTATCCTTAAAATATGTTGACTAAGTGATAGCGGAGGGGTAAACTGCACTAACATACTAGTTACAGATGTCATCTGAAATGTTACCACCTGAGTATGGGAAAGTTGCATACGTTAAACCTGTTGATGAGGAAACTCAAATCCAAGTCGAGCTGAAGGTACTCGTATTGTAATCACCTTTGGCTGCCTCTGTTCTTCTGGATATATTAGCTTGATTTAGGTTCCTGAAACTGGCAACTACGTATTGGTGTTGGAATATAACAATTATCAAACAGTGATTGTTCCACTGAAAGTTGAAGTTCAGTCGTCGGACAGTTCGTCGCAGATGGCAGATGCAGTTATAGAGCACTGCCCTTACGAGTAACCGTTTTATAAATTTTAGTTCTTACAGGATGTTGTTAAAATCACCGGTTGAGAAGGATTTTTGGTCAGTTGTTTCCATTTGATTAATTTAGGGTTTTTTGTCGAAATTTAGCGATAGAGAATGGTATTCCAGCTTCTTTCCATCTGGAAAAGGACAGTATTGCTACAGTTACAATAACTGTTCCACCAAAAAATGAGTTTGGTCTTGCAGCAGTTAGTCTTGTTAAAGTAGAAGATTGGGATTCACGTTTTTTGAATCAGGTAATTTTATGCGCGAATAGACTGAAATAGTTTTTAATATTTTGTTTTCTATTTCTACCAGAAATAGTAAGTGAAGTCTGCCGTGTCTGACTAATTCATTTTTTAGGAGCCTATTTGTGCGTGGAAAAATGGTAAATGTCTGGAAGAAAATTATGCTCTCGCTTCTAACGAAGTGGTTAAGGAGGCTGAAGCGGGACAAAATGCTGACAATGCTGTCGACGGCACCAAATTGCCATTCAATGTTTCCGACCCTCAAAATACTCAAGTTTTACTACTGGATGGACAGGAGGTGAGCTTGATTTTAATCTTACAGTTGTCAGAGATCTAAAAGTACTACCTCAGTTCACAGTTGCTTGAAAATTTTTTTTATATATGGATAATTAAATTTGATAAATTTTTAAAAACTTTTTTAGACATCTTTTGATGTTGAGTCTGCTGTTCCTGAAGCTGGCTATTACGTCCTAATTGTACATTACTACAATCCAGGGAACCCATTCTTTACGACATCGGTGTATTTGAATGCTGATAATTTCTATGACTGTAAGTCTCATAAAAAGTTTGCTGGGGAATTATAGTTGAAAAGTTAAGATTTTTGTGCAGACGGTTTTTGTTTATTAAGGTTAACCAGTGATAATATTGGGGACTTTAGCAGTGCTTTTGTATTTCAGGTGTTTTACCGTTAGAATATTGCCCAAATCAAGCCGGATGTCGAGCCGTTCTTCGGGATGTTAAGCGAAATGGCGCAACAGACTTCTATGTAGTTGATAAATTCATTGCTACTTTTAACTATAATACCAGTCAGAAAGATCCAGTTTACATAGTAAGTTTAAAGAAGAATTATCAGTCAGCGAACATATTTCTACTGTTTTTATAAAAATTCTTCAATTATTTTAGAATTTTCTGTTATATTTTAGGACAACTTCCTATTGACTTGAAAATGTCAGTTCCGATTGTTTTAGGATAAAGTGATAGCAGTACCGGTAAATTCTTACAGTGATTCGCTGACCAAACTTCAGCCTGTTGATGTATCGAGCAAATTTATTCGGGAATGTGGCAAGGATGAATTTATAAATGAGTCTGTATTTTTTCTATTTATCGCATTTTGAATCAGCTCTTTTTTTGCGCTGTTTTAAGAGAGGCAGGAGGAGGGGGGAAAGAGATGCTTCAGGCTTTTTTCTCAATAAAATTTGTATTATCGTCTTGGCCGCTGTCTTTGATGATCAGCAATGATGGGTATAGTTTTTTAGTCCTCAGAATGTTACCGATTACTGCCGAGAAACTGTATTTGCATTGACGACTGATTTTAATGCTGCCAGTTTTCCTTGCCGGTGTAACCATGCTGGAAGCAAGAGCTTCTCCTGTGCAGTATACGGTGGACAATGCGACTGCCGTCCTAATATTACAGGCCGCCAATGCGACCAATGCAAACCTGGCTACTACGACTTCCCATACTGCAGAAGTAATTGTAGTGAATGCCTAGAAACCTTGTAGCACACGTCGTAAAGAATTCTGTTTTTATCATTTTTTGCAATAGATTTTTTTTCTCGTCTTCATCCTGTTTCGTTCAGGATGTAACTGCTTGTTAAGCCAAACGTGTGACGAACGATCAGGTCAGTGTTACTGTCCGAGACATGTTGTGGGGAAAAACTGTGACAGATGCGTACAATACGCATTTGGTTATGATCCGCTGATAGGTTGCCAACTTTGTCAGTGTGATAGCCGAGGATTAGATGAAGTGCGAGGTAGTCCTCAGTGCGACCCAGAGAATGGCCAGTGTTTGTAAGTTCTTTTTTGTTATATTTTTTACTTTTTATAGGATTTGTAATTGGCAGTTTTATTCATCAGGGTGTTGAGAGCATCTGCTTAATTAAAGGTATCTGCTATTTTGTTTACTTATTCAGATGTCAAAGAAATGTCGGTGGACGTCAGTGTAATCAGTGTTTGGCTGGACATTACGGATTCCCACATTGTTATGCTTGTGTTTGCGACAAGAAAGGCACAACTGAAAAGATTTGTGATCCTGACAGCTCTACATGTATTTGCAAGGTTTTGTTTGATTTTTTTGTTTGATAACGCTAACGTCTTTCTTCTAGAGACTTTGGATATCGCTTTTTTAAGGAAAACATTGAGGGGTCCAGCTGTGATCGGTGCAAACTAGGAAAATTCGACTTGCAAGAAACAAACCCACTTGGTTGTTCGGACTGCTTCTGCTTCGGCGCTACCGACCGTTGTCGCTCTTCCAGCTATGCAGTTGATTATGTAAATTTTTTGATTTATATTACTCAGATATTCTTGATATGCAGCTTCTGTAGTAGAAATGCCTTTCAGGTTTTCTTTGATAGAGAAGCTTGGCAAGTTACCGATCCTAAAGGAACTGTTCGACATAATGACGGACAAGTTCACTATTTCGCTACACCTGCTGACACACCTGACAACGTTTACTTCAAAGCTCCTTTGGGTACACAAACTGATTTTACAGCTGCATATGGCTTGAAGGTAAGGCCAAACCACTTGATAATCAGCATCCTTTGTCATTCGTTGTTAACTACGAAATCAAACTTTTAGATTTCGTACAGAATCTCTTCTCAACCAAAGGCCGACGAGGCGCGTATGGGTGTCGCTGCTGACTTGAAGTTGATTGGATATAATATGACACTGGAATATTGGATCAGTGAAGTGCCTATGGATGCAAAAGAAGCCTTTGGTGTTCAAATTAAGCTTGTTCCGGTTTGTTACAATTAGATTACATTAAAAGTGGAGGATTTTTTTGGATCCAGCTTTGATTTATTTGCCTTTTAAAGTTTAAAAGAAATTGTATTTTAGGAGAGCTTCATATTAGAATCAGGCAGTCCTGTCAAGCGTTCTGATTTGATGCTGGTTCTATTTGACTTAAACCAGATTCTGATCAAAGCATCGTACTACGAAAAAACAGATCTGGCTACTTTAACTGACTTTGAAATGGAAATTGCAAGAAAGAATTTTGAAGCAACTAACGGCTTTCCAACTGCTACATCTGTTGAGGTTTGTCAGTGCCCTGCACCATACACTGGAGATTCATGTCAGGTAAACTTTTTAAAGAACTGCATTTCTGCGGTTTCTAATATTTTAAGATTGTGAAAACTTTTTTGTAATCGAAGTGTGGGCTTTGATTTGTATACCAAAGAAAAATCTATTCTGTACGGGTTTTTCGTGATTAGTTATTTATAAGAGTAATGTGACTTTTTTGAAGCACTGTGCTGACGGTTTTTATCGCGTTAAAACTGGTACCTATCTTGGCGCCTGTATAGCATGTGATTGTAACGGACATTCCGCTTCTTGTGATAAAAACACTGGAATTTGTTATAACTGTCAGCATCATACTACTGGTGATCATTGTGAGATTTGTGAAGAAGGTTATTATGGAAATGCTACGAGAGGCGGTCCGTATGCGTGCTTACCGTGTACTTGCCCTAACTTATACAATAATTTTGCGTCAAGTTGCCAGGTCAGTCTGTAAACCAGTTTAGTTAGCACATTTTTTGTTGTCATTCTTTTATTGTTGACTGATTATTTTGTATTTACTTATTTTGTCAAAGGTAATTTAAAAAAATCGCATTTTAATTATTTATTTTATGCATCTGTTTTAAGGTCTCTGAAAAAGGTATTTTGGAATCTTGTACGTGCAAGCAGGGTTACACTGGCGACAAATGTGACCGGTAAACATTACTGTTACTTTGTTCTCTCGTTGAAGTTCAACATGTATTTTTACCTGATTTTCCTTAGTTGTGCTGTCGGTTATTTTGGACAGCCAGATGTACCTGAAGGCTCTTGCACAAAGTGTTTCTGTAACGAAAATAATGATCTCGAGGCTGAGGGTTCGTGTGATCCAGTGACCGGTTATTGTGACAACTGTTTTGGTCATACGTCTGGTGAAAAGTGCGAGATTTGTGAAGACTGGTATTACGGTGTTGCTACAGGAACCAGAAACTGTATGGGTAAGCTATACGATTGGAATGTTACGTTTTTCATTTGTTTTTATTAGTTGAAATGAGATTGCTGTTGGAATGTTTTGCTCCGCATATTATGATTACGTGGATAAACTGAGGTAAAGCGAATTAGAATTTCAGACTGCGGTTGCGATCGCTGTGGAAGTTCTTATTGTGACAAAGATAATGGAAAATGTATCTGCCAACCAAATGTTGAGGGTGAAAAGTGTGATAAATGTGTTGTAAGTTGTTTACTTTTTTAACATTTTCAGTGTTTTGAAGATTCAATTATGTAAACTTTTATAGGAGCAGTGGAAGAATTTACGTTAAGTCTGTCGATGTTTTTGATAAATGTTCTTTATTTAAGCCGAATGCTTGGGGATTAAAGCGATGTATAGGATGTGATATGTGCGACTGTGCCATAGCGTCGAAGAGCACACAGTGTAATGACCAGACCGGCCAATGCTTCTGCATGCCAGGTGCAGCTGGAGTAAAGTGTGAAGCTTGTGCTCAGGGATACTGGAATTATACCGCTTCTGGTTGTACAAGTAAATATTGCTCATCAAATGCGTTTGAAAAGCTCGTTTATTCTGTTGCTTTCTGACTATTATGAATGTTTGCTTTCAGAATGCGATTGCGAAGCCGATCTTTCTTTGGGTACGGTTTGTGACATCAACACTGGCCAGTGCCACTGTCAGGAGGGAGCTACAGGACCAAGATGTGATCAGTGTTTGACGCATTATCTGCGAATACCCGATTTTGGTTGTAGAAGTAAGCTAATGTTGGAGTAAAGAAGCGTATCAGCGTTAATGGAAGTCTTTTACGAGATAATAAGCGTATAGTCTCTATAATCTTCTTTTGATTGCAGAAGTATTTTTGATGAAAGTTATTCTCCACGTTCTGCATTAAATTAACATTTTAGTTTGTGATGAGTGTGTTCATTCTCTGATCACCGACTTGGATGTGTTAGAGTCACACCATGGCGATCTCGCTTATACAATTAAACATATGTCACCAGCAACTTTAGCTGGAGCCAGACTTAGGCGATTGTCAGAACTGCTGGATTCAAATAAAGTAATACGCCTCATAAATGTTCTTTTATTTAAGCAAGCAGTAAATTTTTTTGCTTTTTAATGACTTTAAATTTTCAAATTTTTCTTGAAGTTAAAGAGGGTTTTCTTGTTTGTTTAAATTTTTTGAAATCTAATTTGTTCTTTTACTCTTCTCGAATGATAAGTTCCAAGTTTTTTATGTGCTTTCTGTTGGTACTAGGGATTAAATTTTTATCATGTAGAAGATGAGTTAGGAAGGAAGCATATATACATTTCTGCTCTAATTTTTCAACAAAGTAAATTGTCTAGATAATCTTTTCATTTCTAGATGCTCTTGAATGGTACTCTAAGTATTAAAGATGGTAACCTTTTGGAAGACCTCAAGAAAAAATTGCTTGATAGAAGGGAGCCATCTTTACAAGCTCTCGCCCGTGCTCGTGATTCTAACAAAACTGTTGTGTCAGAGTACGGGAAACTTGAGCGTCTTATGCAGGAACTGAAGACGGTTAGTATACTGTATTGGTGTTCTCCTGTTCTACAACTACCTGCATAAAAACTTCAAGTTCTTCTGGAAACAGACTAATTTTATTTATCTTTAGAGCATGCTAATAAAAAAGGTTGGAAAAAGCCTGATGAACAGAATTTGAGAAGAAATATCAAACCTTTTGCTTTCTTGAGGAGTGTGGTGACAAATATGGCCACTTTTGGTTTTCATTCTGTCAACATTCACTGGAGTGGAATTGTACGGACTAGAAAATGACTGTCTTTTTCAGTTAAAAGATGATCTGCACAATCGCGTCGAAGTCTCGCAGTGGCCAATAAAAAGCTTTGGGAGACTGATTAGTATTTTAAAATCAAGATCAGGACACCGAAACGTTGAGGCAATGGAAGAAAGGGCAGAGCAAGTCAAGGAAGGGATGGAAGAGGAGTTTGTCTTTCTATTTTCACTAAGATTTATTTTTTGGTTGAATAAATATTGCGATGGTCTTATTAATTTTATTTTTATTTCAGCCTTGAAATCAGGTCTGATCTTGAAGCTGTAGACAGGGAAATTGATAGGGTCCTCCTTCGAGGAAGAGCGTTAAGGGACAACATTACTAATTATGAAAATGTGCTGGAGAAAAACAGGATGAATATTGCAAAAATGAAGCGTAGTATTGGTGACTATCTCAAGCTCTTGGAGGATGTTGGAGTAGATATTAGTAAAGTTAAAGAGGTCTGATTGGCTTATATTTGTTTACAGTACGAGAGATAAGTATAGTCAAGTAATTCTGAAAAAAAGTTGCTCTTGTTAGGTGCGTCCAAATAGTAACTTCAAACCAGCGAGGCATATTTCGACTTTTGTGAAAGGATCTCATTTCTAATCAATGATATACTGTTTTCAGGGGATGGTAAGCAATGAACAAAAAAATGGCAACATTACTCGCAGCAATAAGCTGAGAGAAGAAGCTCAGAAAAAGTTGGAATCTTTATCAGAAGCGATCAAAGAGGTAATTAACTTAACAGAAGCAGAAGCCAATATGCTAACTGCAACAACAACTGATATTAAAAATTTGGTCGAGAAAGTAAAAGAAGTGCATCTGCTTTTGAAAGAGTTTGCTCTTAAAGGATTTCGGCATCGACGACATCTCAAAAAGGTTAACTCTGCAGTAATTTATGAATTCAAATCTTCATTTTTCAACATATACCATATATGGTAAGAATGTCATTAGAGCATATAAGAATGTGATTAAGTGAATCCTTTACATTTTAGTTCCATTCCAATTACCTTACACATGCTCACCATTTGGGGCAGCAGGCTGATAGCCTCTCAGAACAATTTAGCAACACCAAAAATGAAGCGGATCGAGCACTACAAGCTGCTAACACCTACTCAAACTTGTTGAAAACTCTTCTTTCTGTCCGGTCTTTGACTGCTACCGCCGTGCAGGAGTCAATAGAAGCTAAAAAATTAGCTGATTATCAGGTCTCGCATTTCAATAATCAATTTTGGTTGTTCTCTACCAGTTTTTGAAGGGTTTATTGTCTTTTATAAAAATGTGCTTTAGAGAACTGATGTTCTTGTTGTTGTTTTTTTGGCTTTTAGTCTTTTTGAAAACTTTGACGTTATGCGAACTACTTTGTAGCCAAAGTCAGTGGAAGCAGCAAAACAGTCAATAAAAAATGTCACTGCGTCACTTATAACAAGCGAAAGTCGTTTAAGTGAAGCTGTCGATGATACTTCGGCAGTGAAGGTGAATCTAGAAAAGCAGAATCAAACGTTGACAGAACTAAAAGAAAGATTTCAACAGTTTAGGTCAAATCCGAGAGATGTTACTGTGGTAAGTATTTTTGTGTTAACGAATGGATTTATTCATTTCTTTTCTTCTGTAATTGTTGTAAATTTAGTATCATGACGGAGAGCTTTATTTTTCTTGTTCAGACCTTTCTGAAGACAACTCATTTCATAATTATAGATTGATAATTTGACGGCTACCGAGAAGCTATTGGGTGATGGAGAAGAGAAATTGAATAGGTTAGAAATTACTGCCTCAGAGATTGGGTTTAAAGTTGCGCCACTGGAAGAAGAGACAAATGGTACGATGAAGCGAGGTGAAGACTTGCGCAGTCGAGTAGATGATGCTAAGAAAAGCCTCATCAGAGTAAGGATTTTTTTCTGTTCATAAATGTCTAGAATTTTTTTAGTTGTCAAATTTACGTTAAAAACTTAATCTAAGAAAATTTTTTGTAAATGGTGTCTTTCAGATGAAGAATGCCACAGAAGAGGGCAGTGTCCTTTTAAATTTAACCAACCAAACGATACTAGCCGGTGATAAACTGAAACAGTTTAAGGAGCGTCTTCAGAACCTAAAAGAGCAGATTGCTCGTGCTCGGGATGTGGTTCAACGGGTTGGTCAAGTGCTTTTTTTAGGAATACTTCTTGTTCAATCGTCAACTGAAGAGTGATCTATTTTTTATTTTCGTTTTGTGATGGCTCTTACCGTTCAGTTGATTTTTCAAATATATATCTGTTTTTAGAGTTGGTGACTGGCAATTGATTTACAAAGTTGGTGGATAAGATTTTAAAGTAACAGGAAATGACTGCATTTTCTGTTGAAAAACTTTTGTTTTGAGGGACCTTTTTTATTGTCAATTTACACGTCAAATGTCTTATAAGGACTTTTCTAGGTCCGGTTAACTGTGAACTTCACAGGAGACAGTAATTTGGAACTACCTTTACCTCGTCGTTTTGCCAGATCGTCACCTTATACGAAGGCTGAATGTTTTGTAAAGTCGTCCTCTCCAAATGGTAAAAATTAGTTTTTGAGGGTTAAGACGCTTTTGCAGTCATCTTCTTAAACAAGTTTTAAATTTATTTTATATTTACCACGCTTTTCAGGTCTGATATTTTTAATTGGCAATGAGCAACCAACAGAAGCAGGAAAAACTGCAGTTCCCAATGATTATATGGCTTTAAGCCTAAAAGACGGGAAACCGCTTGTGACTATGTCGATAAACAATAGGTTGGCTAACGTAAAATTAGACAGGTACGTGCCTTCAATTATATCTTTTAAAGGATTAGGAAGAGGTAGAATAAAAGCGTTTAGCATTTGCGTTCTTTGGAAACTTTATAGCTGTTTTCGTCCTTATGTTGGTCAGTTTTAGGGCTATTGATGACAACGAGTGGTGGAAAGTAATTGCCGAGCATAGCGGTTCGAGATTGAGTGTTATAGCTAGAAAACCTGGGACGGCAGATTCTGCTGCTGAGAAAGTTCAAGCCTTACCCGACGGGAATCCTGTTCTTTATATCACTCAAGACTCTGGTCGTTTATTTGTCGGAGGCATTCCACCTAATGCTAATGTTGGTTGCTTTTTTTTCGAAGATAGTTCTTTCCATTTATTTTAAAAGAATTTTTACTTTATGTAATCTTCTATTGTCAAAAGAACTATTTTGAACGAATTCATTAAAGGTTGAGTATACGGATGTTTTCTCCAATTATGTAGGAGAAGTCGATAATCTTATATTAAATGATGAATACGTATCACTTTGGAATCCGGTGCGTGGTAGATCACGTAACATCGTTGGCAGTCGTGTGAGGTCTTCTGGAAACAGTAAAAGTACAAATGGTAATACACAGTTTGTTTCTGATCAGTATTTCTTAAAGCCAGTAATTAATTTTTCATACTGAAGAAGAATTCTGGCTCTTTAACTTACTCTTGAATTCGTTGTAATGATTTGCTATTTAAGCTATAACATTTGACGGTTCTGGTTATGGCATAATGGATTTGCCGGGTAATGGAGCCCCACAGACTAACACTGCTTTCTCTATTCAGTTCCAGACTTATGCCGCCAATGGGCTATTGTGCTACATCGGGAAGGCAGATAGCGTATGTGGATTACGACTTTATCTCGCTTTCTGGCATTTTGCTATTGAGAATTATAACAATTGCTTGTAACGCTTCCAGAGTGACTTCATGTCTTTGGAATTATTGAACGGCGCTATTCAACTGGCATATAACCTCGGATCCGAAGAGAAAGAACTGATAACTTCTAGTAAGAACTACAACAATGGTGCTGTTCATTCGGTAGGTGTAGTTCGTCGAGGACGTCGAGTTAGGCTCACTGTTGATGAAGAAAAGCCTATTGAAGGGGAATCTCGTGGTGAAGAAACAACATTGGATGTTGGTGAAGAATTCTACATTGGTGGACTTCCACATAAATTTGCCAGGTAAATAGTTTTGATTTTGCCGTTATCGTCCTCACTTTATTCTTTAATTTATTTATTTGGAGTGTTTTTTTGTTCCACTTTCTGATTGCAGTTCACTAAATGTAGTTCCATTCCGTGGTTGTATCAAAGAGCTGAGGTTAAACTCAAAGTTTGTTGAACTTTCTAAGCCAATAGCGACAAAGAATGTTCTTCCGGGCTGCTACATTAAAGTAGTTCATACAGTGTCATTCCCATCGGAATACGCTCGCTCAGTTTTCCACAATGTTGTTAATGGAGGTACTTTTGAGCTTATGTTCTACTTCAAAACGGACCAACAAACTGGACACCTCACGACTGTTCAAAGTTCAGAGAAAGTGAGCAGTTTTTTAGGACGGTCATTTGGTGTTTATCCGATTTTAGCTTTTTTGTTGTTTGATACCATATAGCTACTTCTATTACAGGATGTTGCGGTCGAGGTGAAACTGGAGAACGGATTTTTAGTTGTGTCCGCCGGGGGTGTAGATAAGCGCAAATTGGGTTCAGGGCATCTTTCGGACGGCCTTTGGCACTTTGTAGTCGTTAAGAAAAAAGGCACCAAGCTCCGCGTTGCTGTTAATAATGGGGTAGCCGACGAGATAGAAGTAAAGGACGAGCCTGCAGGAGTTAGAACTTACCTGTGTTTGCATTTTTTAGTTTTTAAACATTTGGGGAGGAGAGCTTTTGTTTTTGATCTTCGAGAAGGCTAGATTAATCACTACTTTTAATCTATATTTTGTTTATTGCCGAGTGATGTGCTTAACTTCTAGCTGTTCAATTTCGCTCGTTTAGCTATCTAATCGAGGCCTCGTCCAGTTTGGACGACAGCTAGATGGTGGTCTGTCCTTCCATGGCTGTATATCAGACGCTATCTTAGACGGAAAACTGTTGGACTTTGGAGAGGTGTTTTTTTGGCTATTTTACGTAAAGATTTTTACCGCTTGACAGGAACTTTTGGGATTTTCCAATTTTTGTTGAGTCGTTTTGGGAATGGAAAAACATTGTTGATCTTGTTTAAGTACTATTTTCTAAGGATGAAATTCAGGATGGCGGGCTTAAATCTAGCTACTAAATTTCTTGATAGTTTCTGTTTGCCAAATATACAAAGAAGTGTCTGATTGTAAACCAAAACTTATCCCGCTTGCTCTGTATAATTGAAAGATATATCGCAGGCTTTCAAGGTTAAGAGTTGAAGCGTTTGGAGGCTAAAGGAGGTTAAGGAATCTCAAAAATTTTATTGGCAGTTTAGTAACAAGACTACATGGCGTAAAATCTGGACTTTTACAGGCCAAAAATTTGGACACTGAAATGTCAGAATGCTCTATTGCTGAAAAGAAGGAGGGTTTTGTGGCTGCTGCAGTCGAGAGGATCGAGCCTACAGTATGTCTACAGTGAACCGTTATTCTACCTAGATTTTATATATTTTAATGCAAAAATTACATCCTTAGACGAAGCCCACAGTCGATTCTACTGCGGCACCGGTAATCGAAAAAGACCTAGAAGCTTGTACTTTGTCGAAACTGTTGCCAGGACAAACAGACGATGACAGAGGGCAGCGATTTGGTCTATTATTGGACTCTAGACTTGAATACGAAAGCCTTCCCTCATCATTTGATAAAAGGTTTTATTTAGAAGACTAATCGCATTGACAGTCTGCAAAAGATCCCTCACGCATTGATTAAAACCAGTTCAAGTTTTTTGGCTCCATTGTGCTCCTACAGCATCGCGGTCCCCCAAAGTTGGACATTTTAACTTACTGTTTTTCAGAAGCATCTTCACAGTACATCTTCGACCAGCTGCCCTACACGGGCTCATTATGCTTTCTAAAGACAAGGGTAACGTTGACTACATCTCATTATACTTGGTAAATGGTACCGTGAACTTTGCGTTCAATGCGGGAAACGGGCCAGTAAGTTGTTTGCTACCAATGGCTTTCTTTGAATGTTAGGGCATTAAAACTTTATTTTTTCTTTCTTTTTTTTTGTAGTTGCAAGTTTCAAGTTGTGACCGAAGTAATTACAATAAAATGAAATAAAGATTACCGACCTCTGCTGCTCTACATTTTATCTTGGTTCTCTTAGGTACATCTAAAGTCGAACCGCTACTTGGTAGATGGAAAATGGCATAGCGTGGTAATTGAACGTTATGAAAAGAACGGCACATTATACGTTGATGGAAGTTTGGAAGACAATGGGATGTCTCCAGGAAGGAGTGTGTCTATCAACACTGATCCTCCTTTATACATTGGAGGTCTTCCAAAAGAGTCTAGTTTGCTGTCATCTGTTGCTAAACACCTACCGGTAATTACCCTTTTTTTTTACTAATCCGTTTTGATTATCCCGTTCATTTTCCGATCTGATCCTTTTATTCTCCTTCCTGCCGTTATTAAACTGGTCTTTAGAACTGGTCTGCACTATTTTCTCACAATTTCAGGGACTGAAACCAACATTCGTTGGCTGCATGCGAAACTTCACACTGAACGGTATTAAGTTGGACAACCCTAAGGAGTATGATATTGCGCCATGCAGCGAAAAGACTGAAAAAGGGACATATTTCGGAGGGAAAGGAGGATACATGATTTTACATAGGAATTTCACTGTAGTAAGCCTACTCGATGCTTTTTAAATGAAGCAATCATTTTTGGTATTTCCGGACCTAATCACATCATACAGCGTACTTAATGCATTTAGTAGATTCTTATCACAAACAGAAAAAAAAAACTAGCCTACAACTTCTCAAAAGTCGCATTTTATTGTAGGCTGAGCCGACCTTCACCGTTGAACTTGAGGTTCGCCCTCGAACAAAGACTGCAGTACTTTTGTCGGTTAACGGTGCTGATTCTTTCACAGTGCAACTGCTTAATGGGGTTGTGCACTTCTCTGTCACGCACGGAGGCGAAACAAAAGAAGTTTTTTCCAAATCAAAAACCAGTAATGCTCTTTGCGATGGACACTGGCATACAATTAAAGTAATTCTTTTAATTCACCTCTTTCTCAAAGGTACACTCATTTAATGGTCTGATTTTGCAGGCTTTAAAAGCCAAAAAGGTTTTGATGCTAACTGTGGACAACAACAAGGAGTACGGTACTTTGAAGGATTACGGACCGAAACCTGAAATGACCTTAAATGCTCCACTATATCTAGGAGGAGTTCCTAAAGGAGCAAAATTTCAGTCGTTGAAGACAACAGGTACGTACGGCTTGTCTTCGTAGAGAACCATATTGTAGGTAAGTGTTCTTTGAGAACATCTCCAGTATAACTGTTTCTTTGCAGAACCATATGTCGGCTGTATCAGATACGGATTCAGCAATAAAACAAAGCGGCGAAAGAAGCACGTTGAATTTCCCGAAAAAGTCAAATTTGGAGACGTGACGGTAGATTCTTGTCCAGCCATTTAAACGTGAAAATTAGATATAATAACGTTATGTAGCCTTATAAATAATGTAACAGGATGTTGCAGTAAATATATATTCAATAATTATTCGGGGTTTTTTTACACATTCTAAGACTTGAAATGCATTTAGCTTTGAGAAACTGTTCTCAGCGTGAAAAGAAGTGTGTTAAAACCAGGACCCTTGTTACATAGTGGGGAAATATCTGTGTTAAATTATTCAGTGGCACGTATAGATATACTAACATCTCGTCAAATTCTGTTTTGTTCCGCAAGGTTAATTTCAAAAGGGCAGCAGCTCCACGCTCCCACAATTCCAAGTATAGTGATCAGGGCGATGACCTGAGTCCCGCAACAGTTCCTTTTGGCGCCTTTTTACTATATGGGGGGTTCAATCATTCCTTAAAGATTATGTACAACTCATTTTACATCAAATCAGACACTTCTTCTTCACCGGCCTCTCAGACTTCCGCCTTAGAAACAAGTTTCCGCTAATAGTGTAAAAGATTCTCGAACAGGTCTCCAAGCAGCGTTTCTCTGCAGAAATTAATTACTGATTTTCCGAATTACAGCAAATATGGCCTATTATTCAAGTCTGCTTCACCAGTCCTAGACATACAAAGATTTAACTCCAAGTTTCAAATAATACTGACGAGAGTACGTAAAAAGGTAAGTTTTAAAATGATGCTAGAAAATATGGGTTCACTTTTTATGATAAATTTTCGAATCTGCAAAGTTAGTGAAATTTAAGGAGTGCAGTCAAAGTTAGATACGTAAGCCGAATTTAGTTTTTCTGAATGAACCTCCCTTCTGGAGCTGCTTTTTCACTGATTAAAACCAGACTGTATTTTGCTATCAAAAAGTCAGCGCTGGTGCAGCATTACATTAGAACAAATTAAATTTCTGTCTTCACCTACTTAATTGAATGAGACTTTGACTTTCACATTTTTCTCATATTTGTTTGGAGAAGCAAAATATACTAAACACTATCCCTAATCTTTTGAAAAAGCTGATAGACCCAGTTTTGTCGCGTTATTTCAGCGCCTGTACTTCTATATCCCTTTGTCAGCAGTACGCAAAAAACCTTTACAATTATAAAATTATAGATAATGAGCTTTTGTACGGGATCAGATTTGGTTGATTCTAAAATATATTACTTGTATAAACGCCCAAAGTACACCTGACATAGGAGGAGCCAGAGATTTCTCACACTCTGGCTACCTGTAATGCGGTAAAGCAACGAATATCTCAGATAAACTTTTGCCTTTCCTTCATCTATATACCAAAACTTATGAAAACCTGAGAGATCTAGTGAAGAAATGCATGTAATAATACGTAGAATGACCTGCATATAAATAAAAACGGCTTTTGAAAGCATTACCATAAACTGTACTGAACTGACTTTTCATTTCTGATTCCCTTGGCTGGATAGCGACTGGTTTTACAGATAAAACCCCGTTCATCGTTACCCATCCTAATGGGTATTCAGAGCCACTAAACGATTGGATCAGAAAATATATACGTTGATAGCCAACTTCAGAATTATTGAATGCAACAAATGCACCAATTTGCAGAAGTTGAAAGGGCATGCTTGCCAACCTGTCAGTGGAATCATTTCTTCCCAACAAATGTGATTGTGAAACCCATTTTCTCCCAGAATCCCTGCAAAATAAGCAACGTTAGAACTTTAGCTAAATTACAAAAAACTGCAGCCCATTCGGATGGGCAGACAGGTTGATGTATATTTCTACAGTAACTGACATATTTTGACCAAACGGTCCCGAAAGCCTAGACAAACTCCTTGACATTTGGTGCCAAAGCTTCACCGATTTTCGGAGAAAGTACAGTTCACTTTAATTTCCTTTTCTTTTACTTCACATACTTTCTTTGAAGCGCTGTTACGTATCACTCATGTCTTTCCTTCAACTTTTCCGCACAAATAACTTAAAACTTTAAACTTTAAATAACGCTTTAACCTTCAGTACTCAATAACGTAAAAAACAGTTTAAACATACAACGGTAAAAAATATTTCAAACATTTTCAAGTTTTTACCCGAATCTGCAATTAAGGATCTTTTTCTTATACGTTTCCCTTTGCTTCTCCCATGTTTTTATTTTCTGTTCAACATCTGATCGTGTCGATGCGGTAAGCTTAAAAAGATGAGGTTCGCTTAGTCGCCTTCTGTAGGGCACTAAAAGTTAAACGCTGTTAGCATCCGTCACCTACGTGTATGGTTCGCTCTTAAGTTTTGATTAAATAATAATATTTGAAAAAAAAGACAAAAATTACATGTGAGAAGAATATAGATAGCAAGGAAAAAGATGAGCAAATAAACTGACTGTCTATTCTAACTATTGCTTTTTCTTGCTTTTTTTTTTGCTCCTTATAATGAGTCCGCAGTGCTGCCATGTCCCACTTTAACAAATCCGTTTCGAACAAGTCTAAAACTTATAAATGAATTAATAAATGAAAATTGATAACAACAACAAAAAACCAAAAAAGTCAACTGTTAAAACCACTTTAAGCTGGGAATTCTAAAAGAAAACGTACGATACAAAAACTGAAGTTTATAAAGCATAACTACATGACGCCTATAAAATCACTAACCCTTACTAATATTTGAATTATTGTTGCATTGTTTTCGGTATTAAAACGAATCATGTAAAACTTTAGCTTTTTTGCAGAACAAATACTGTTTTTCACCTAAACACCAAGCTTTTTTCATGAGCAAATCAGATATTAATGCAGTTCATAATTAGTCGTTCCTAGTAGCAACTAAATTGGAAGTAGGCATTGGCACACATTACGCATTGCTGTAGGATTCTACTTTTACTTTTACGAGTTTGAGTATCAAAGAACTGAAATGTTAATGCCAACTATTTCCATCACCCTATTTCTCCTTCAAAGACCCTTTTTTTTTTGTTAAGAGTGCTTTCAAGAAACTTTGAATCAAGCACAAATCTTTGACGAATCTACATTAACATGGGTATTAATTCAACGACTTTGTTACAAGTAGGAATTGGTATCATACAAATATTTACTGTTTACTCTTTGCCTCGCTCTTTACCAAACTGTCAGCGTTTTCTTAATAAATTTTGAGGGAAAAACCTTCATCGTCTCTTTTTCAGTGTGTCAGTGACTGAGTCAAGCGGGAACACCACCCTTTTCGCGACTTCGTTACCGAACATTCAAAATGGAAGTTTAATACTTACTACCGCATTAACATGGCATGAAAACACAAAAAGCAGAAGAATTAAGTTTGAATGAAGTATTTTGATACACACAGTGAGCACTTCAAACAACATGGCATATACTTCCCATGAAAAGTGGGTTACATACAAATGCTTAAGCTACCTTCGAAGACGCAAAATGTTCAAATGCTGCTTTCCAAAATTGACTAATCAGAACAAAAAAAAAATGAATGATTAACGTAACCAGTTCTTCGATTGATAAACAGAGATGTTTTTCGAGTAGAATCGTTAGTGTCAAATAGAGAAAAGGCACGTCTTTTACTTAACGAAGGAAATGGTGACGATAAAGGCCGAATATTCCACATAACGCTTTCCCGAAGGTGTGCTATTGATGGCAACGGCAATTCACACAAAGCATATATATCCTAAAAAAAAAGATATGTTCCTTTGACGCAAAAATTGTAAAAAGCAAATATAAAGTAAAAAAGCGTCATGCACTCAACATTTTTGTTTAAAGCTCGTTTCTCGTGTAAACTACCGTTGAAAGGAGAAAGCTGAAACATTTGTAAGAACATTTCTTGTACATTACAAAGTACCCTCAAACGTCGTGATTTTTCAGATCAAGTTAAAAGAAGCTTATGAATTAAAGAACTGCTGTTGAGGAATTATGCGGAGGACAAAAAGTAGAAAAATGTGATCAAACAGCTAGCTTAGCTGCGTTTTATTTTCACTTCTTTTAATGCTAAGCAGAGGTAACGTTGCAGCTAAGATACTTGCACAGGCGACACTTGGGTATTGTTACAGTGTTACAGATTGAATTACTGCCGCAGTATGCATAGTTTAAAGAACTTTCCAAAAAGGTTTTTTTTTTAATGTACAAAGGCCTTTGAACTTCCTTTGCAGTTGTGAAGAACTCCTCAATCAGAAAAAATTAAGACGATTAAAAGTTCAACTATAAAATATTTACAATCACTAATGAACAAATTTAGGAATAACCTATTAATACGCAAAAGAAGAAAAAGAGCACAACATACATGAACAAAACTGTCAATTTCTGCAGAAGTCATTTGCATCATCATTTTGCACTGTATTTCCATCATACAATAAAATTCTTCCGCCGATTGTATGTGCACCAATTTCCTGAAAGCACAATTTTTTCCTGTTTTCTCTTCTAACCACTTCAACTTTACTACATTCTAGAACGCGAAAAACTACTTTGATAATCAAGTAAAAAAATTTACGTTGAGTTTTTGAAGAAATTCAGATAAACCGTTTAAATTTGCCATTTTTTTGAAAAAACGCACATTACTGCTTTATTACCATAGCTTGAAAGCTTCTGGGTTATACAACCAAAATTTCTGCTTCCTGCTCCCCTGTCGCAAGAAGCGGGATTGAAAGGCGTCAAACCTAAGGGGGAGGTCATTTTACAGATTCGCCACAGTGATAAATTATATAAAAGTCTCTCAAAGAACTTTTGTACTTTCTCGTATCCCCACAGGGCTGTTTAATAGCTTTTGTGCATTATTATTTGTTATTTCTTATCATTACTACCTCCTTCAACTTTGACTTAAATTGATTACTTCACTTGACCTAGAACTGTTATATTATGTATAGTCATCAACACCGCGAGCTTTTGTTCTAAACTTTGCTAGATAAGGTTTAATTACCCATACTTGAGGTATTTTTATCGTATCCGTGAGTTGATAAAACCTATTTTTTTCATTAACCTGGTTTACTAGATTATATATTTTTGTCCTGTCAATAACTAGATTATTGAAAACTTGACCTTGGCTTCCTTTCTTAATTCTAGTCTTCCAACTTTATAAATAATCGACAATATAGCAGTAAGAAAACGTTATACCCCCCTCTCCCAAAGAAAAAAACAACCTCATGAAGCAACAGACAATTTTTCGGTGACAGTCAGCTCAAAAGCGACCTAAACAAATGATAAAATTCTACAGCTGTATTTAAAAAGTAATTTTTATACTGCTTACCTGCTAAATTTAGCCCATATAATTAGCGAAGTTTTGAGAATAAACTCGGAGCCCTCTAGCATTATCGCGTCTATAATTCGAGCTACACAGTCTTTGGATAAGCAAGTCGAAAACAGAGTAAGAAACCACTGTAAGGACAGTACATTGTCCAATGGCGGATCGTAGGAGGTCTCTGAAAAAAAAAAAAGTTTCACTTGAAAATGACGTCACTTGTTGAAATATATTAGGCAGTACAGAAAATATTCAAACACTCATCAATTCAATAATAGGTAATTACAAATACTTAGACAACTAAAGGTTTCATAAAAGAAGTAAGCTTTAATTTTTTGAAACAGTTTCAAAACTTCTTACTCGACTTCTTCCTAAGTTTTTCTAAGTGTGAAGCAACTTGTGGAAGCACTTGTTGAAGTAAAAGGCGCAATACGGTTATGTCAACAGATAATGCTCTTAAACTTTGATCAAAGTACCCGTCTGGCAGAACAGATTCAAGCAGAAAAATCAAAATCTGAAAATAGCTAAATTGCTCGAAAAAGAGAAACTTCATCTGTTTCTTTTGCAAATTTGATAGAGTACGAACGATGGTGACAAGAAAAGTATGAGCAACAATTAAAAAGTTTCAAAAAGAACAAGGTTTTGCTTCTTCAGTTTTTCTGATACACTACTTTGAGGGTCGGTTCCTCCTTGAAGTTTACTACTTCAGATACTAGTGCGGCAATGATGTTCAAACCCTGCGAGTAACCAACAGATTTATTGTACCGAGCATAGCCGAGAATCGCACGTTTTAAATGTATCTCTTTTGCTTCATCCTGCACTGTAGACCATCCAGCAAGATGTAAACCCTGCAACAACCCCACGTTAATTTTACAAAATGCATTTAGTTTGTTGTTACAACAGAACAAACAGTTCTCGATAACATGTGTGAAAATTAAAGCTTTTGAAAAAGCAATCTAAAACCTACTTTTATAAACTCGAGTGTTAGGCGATCATCATCTCGATTAATTCTGCTGTTAAACGCAGCTCGACATACCGAGATCCAGTCAATTTCTGCAGCAGTAATGTAATGGTCGGCCAACGATAACCAAAGCTTAAAATTTAAAAAGGCAGAATAAAGTAGTTGCAATTATTTAAATACAATATATTTATTTTCACTGATACATACAAAACTAAGATTGAAATTTTTAGATTAAAACCAATAAAAGAGTTTCTTATTTTCTCATTTACGACTATAATCTGTTGTCTTGAAATACACGTAAGTGACGAAGATTCCACAATTTTTAATGCTAAGTTACAACGACACTTTGTTTTAAAAAAAATGGCGGTTAACTTAAGTCTAGTCGTTTCAAAAAATAATGTATACCTGAGCACGAAAATGACTCGGGAATCCACCAGGCAACTTAGCCACGGCTTTCATCGTATCCAACCAGTATTGAAAATGAGATTCTATTTTTGGTGGATATAATGCAAAATGAAGTTTTGTATGTTCATCTGAAAATCGTTTATTTGATTCATTGAGAGAACACAAAAGTGACCATAAAATGCAATTGCTTTTAAGAGTAAAAGACTAGTGAGCTACGTTTTACTTTTTAATTGAAGTTTTGAGACTGTTATACTTTGATTTATCATAAATATCAGTTGACAATGCGGTTAAAATTCATAAAATTATCTAATTATTAAAATCTAATGCATTTTTTACAATCCAAAAAAACAACTCTTTTAAGCCAGGAATGTTTTTAAATAACATCACCTGAGTAATTAAAATGTTAACTCATCAATTGAAAGTTGCAAAAAAAAATTTTTTTTAATTCAATTTTTTTATTTACATAAACTTTCTGCTTAAAAAAAAATCATTTTTAAATTTGTTAAAACTTTTTTTTTTAGGTAGACACTTAAATTTATTGTACACTGTACACTACAGAGATAAAAATGCGAATGCTCCTGAGCCATATCCATGTTAAAACTGACGTTAGAAACAAAATTTTCCAAAATTAAGGTTTTTTTGTGGAATATCAATTGCGGTTTTGTTGAAAGACTATGATCAGATAAAGATGCAAGAATGATCTTCAAAAATAGTGCCGAATGCAATTACTAAATTAAAAATTTGAGCTGTATTAGTTGTTGCAATCATAAAAGTGAGTAGATTTTTTGTCTTAATTATCATAACAAATTGCTTAGCCGAAAACAAAAAATGATATATGCAAAAAAAGTGATTATATTACACTTTTTTTCCGATATTGCCTGTAACAGTGCAGTTACGATATTACATTTAGCTTCTTGTGCATTCATTTGATGAGTTCTTTGTTTTACCGCTTTGATTAGTTTGACGTTTACATATTCCAGGTTTCGCTTTAGGTTATGTAATAGTTTTCGTAGTTCTACGAGATCTGTAAACAAAAAAAAGAAAAAAAAACATTTGATAAATAGATCATAACAAGTTGCCATTACCTTAGATAGAATTAAGTTTTATACTGCACCCCAAATTGAATCAAACAAAAGTAAAAACGATTGCGGCCAAAAACTGCTACAAGCTGCAGTAATTTTTATCTTAAAAAATTATAGCTAACAAATGTAACCCAAAAAATTTGTCATATTTCATAAAAAATGAAAAGAAAACATTTTTTTGCTTACCAAGTTTAGACAGTTTTTCTTGCAGCAAAAAATTTGCATTTCTTTGAGAGCAATCTGAAGTTTGTGAAATATCGGTTACAGATTCGCTGTCCGTACTAAAAAAAGCTTCGACATAGACAACTTTTTTTGCTTATTTAAAGCTGATGATAACAGCTATTTTTCAGCCTTTAAATTTTTTTTAGGCTAAACTACTTGAAAAAGCAAATTACGGTAATAGTGCAGTAAATTTTAAAAATTCGAAAAAAAGTAACGAAATTTTGATAGGCTGTTGAGCTTAGAATAATAAAACAAAATCACTAGCCTCAACAGACCAAAAATTTTATGTATCCAAATTCTATTAAACCAAATAAAAAAAAAAGAAAATCCAAGTATTTTTATAATCTTTCAGTGCCAAAAATGTTTAACGGCCTAAATTTTCATCAATAATTAACAGCTATCCATTTTCAAATTGTCATTTTTTAGATATCTTGATTGTGGTGTTCACCACTTGTACAATTAATGGTCATTAGCTACAACTAAAAATTGTAGGATTAATTTTTACACTAAATAGTCTTTGCACTAAAAGTAAGATATTATTTTTTAAAATGTCCTAAATTTTTCAAAAGCTAAAAAACTTAGTGTTAAAATTATAAACAGTTTTTGCTGTTATCGGTAATTGTTAGTCGTATTTTACAGTGCACGTTTACTGTAGCTGTCATAGAGTGTCACCAACAGTTTCTGCAAACAAATACGTCGTTCCATGATCACTTTCGGACATTGAATTTGATCACTAAATGTAGTAACAGATAAAACCACAGTAATAGTTACTCAAATGTTGGTGCTCAGTTTCTTCATGTTCATCTTTTTTTTAAAACAGAAGGAAAAAAAACCAGATTTTTTACCATTAACCTTTTGTTTAGCACTTGACTAATTTACTAAAGAAAATTGGAAATAGCTTGACCAACACACCCAGAGGATGGACTGCTGCTAATGTAAGTATCCAACCTTGGATTTGAAAAAGTCATTGCACCCAGTCGTCTCTAAATTATGTAATATAGAATTTTATGTGAAAAAATGAAAGGGAAACTTTTATCCATATCGTACTAACTGCTATTCTACCAAAACAAACTGTTTTTAGGTGCAAAAAAAAGGATGAATATACGCAGAAAAATATAAGCGACCAATATCAGCACACAATCAGTTTTTTATTAAAGCAAACCATTAAAAAATAGATTTTACAAGCACGTTCAAAACTTTCATTCCTTTTTTTTTTTACATTATTCTGCTATATATTTAGCGTTTAACATAATCTATTTAAAATAACTGTTATATAACAAATGTGCAAAGAAATTGCTTAGCTAGAGGCTTATTGATGCATAGTTCATTAACCTTTACACTATCAAATTATTATGATAAGAATTTGATAAATGCAAAAAAGAAGTAAAAGCCTAAACTGTGCATACAAATACAACTACCCTTATTAATTTGAAAAATATATGAATCAGGATCAGTATCTTACCTCAATGCAGGTTGTTGATACACTCGGTGCGCTACCGAACGTTGATTTCATTGAACTATTCAGAAGCATTATGTTCTTATACCGTTATAAATTCTGTTCAACAAAAAATAACCAACCAATTTCAATCTAGTATATTTATCAACAATTTAAGTAGACCAACAGGTATTTATCGACACTTAACTACTTTAATTTTTGCCCACCACAACTTTACAGATTAATCTACGCGTAAATTATTTTTCAAAAGCAATCCTTTTGTTTCCCTTTCCTTTAGAATCTATTTGGCGTCTCCTTTTTGTTCATCAACTAGCCTAAAAAATTAAACAGTAAGAAGTATTTTTGAAAACCATATTAAGCTATAATCATCCTAAATTCTGTAAATCTTTTACAGAAGAATTATCAAAGCAGAAGAAGGTTGTCTGGCATAAAAACAAAAACCCGATAAAACCAGAAAAACTAACGGCTCTGTATTCCATAGCAGTTCTAGTCAATTGTTCAAAAGCGGAAAATCACTGCTTGTTTTTCCGTACTCAGCGAACAAATAAATGATCGTAGGTTTGTCTTGGTCGTCGTTTTTGTCGCCTTCTTTTAGATATTCTAAAAGCTATATTAGAGCAAAAGGTGAAACCACTAAATGCCAAGTTTTAGTAAATCGCACCAAAGAACACATCTTTATACAAGCAAATGGTCATTTTGTATACTTCTTTTCGTCAACCCACGTCTTTTTCCTTCCTTCTTTTTTTTTTTTT